ATGGAGCAGCCAGGAGAACCAGCGCCCATGTGGGATGCCGGCACTGCAGGCGGAGGCTTTACTGGGTACACCACAGCGCGGCCCGCCCCCATCAGGATTTAACACTGGGAACCCCAGGCACGATTGTCAGCACCTCTCCTCTGTCCAGCCTGCTAGGCCGGATGACAGGCAGCCTCTCTGTGGGCTGCGACGTGTTGGACACATCTCCGTTTCCCTCCGTCTGCTCCCTTATTTCCTCTGCAGCCCTGGTGATTTGGGAGGCACAGCTCCATGTCAGGGCTGGGCTCTGTACCCCCCGCCCCAGCAGAACCCCAGACAGCGCCCAGGCCGACTCCACGCACTCCCCCTGACCCTGTGTTCACCCTGTGCAGCTGACCACATGGGCTCCTACGGACCAGCCTTCTACCAGTCTTACGATGCCTCGGGCCAGTTCACCTATGAGTTCGACGGGGAGCAGCTGCTGTCCGTGGACCTGAAGGAAAAGGAGGCGGTGTGGCGTCTGCCTGAGTTTGGCGACTTGGCCCGCTTTGACCCACAGGGCGGGCTGGCTGGCATTGCCATGATCCAGATGCATCTAGATGTCTTGGTGGAACGCTCCAACCGCACCAGAGCCACCAGCGGTACCTACGCACCCCCTGCCCCACCCAGCCAGCTTGCCCCGCCTCCCCCACCCCTCATGCTCCAGTGCAGGCTGTCTCTGAATCTGCAGCTCAGCCCCTTCCTTCCCTGGAGGCTCCAAGTCTTCCCAGACGCCCTCAGCACCCCCTTCCTCCTTGAGGAAAGACCCCTCCGCCGGCAGTCCTCCCTCTAGTCATTGCCTCTCCCTACCAGCCCGAGCTCCCCTGCCCGCAGATGCCAACCAGGAGGAGGTGTTCCTGGATCCCACTCCTAGTGAGGCCCAGCCACGAGGGCTAAGTCTGGGCGTTCAGGGCTTCATTCTTTCCTAGTGCGCCCAAGCGTGACCGTCTTCCCCAAGTCTCCAGTGGAGCTGGGCCAGCCCAACACCCTCATCTGTGTCGTGGACAACATCTTCCCCCCTGTGATCAACATCAGCTGGCTGCGCAATGGCGAGACGGTCACCTTGGGAGTGACCCAGACCAGCTTCTACTCCCGGCCCGACCACTTGTTCCGCAAGTTCCACTACCTGGCCTTCGTGCCCTCCGCTGCCGACGTCTACGACTGCAGGGTGGAGCACTGGGGCCTGGACGCGCCGCTCCTCACGCACTGGGGTACAGAGCCCCTGCCCTCTGCCTGTTCCCCCCGGAGCCCGCTCCTCCCGGCACCTTTCCCCTCCATACCGGCTTTCCCCACAGAGCCCCTGCCCCGCCCCATCCTTTCAGACCCGCTTCCTCCGAGACCCCTTGGCGGTACCTCTGACCCCTCTTTCTCTCCCAGAGCCACAGGTGCCCACCCCACTGCCAGACACCACGGAGACCCTGGTCTGTGTGCTGGGCCTCGCCTTCGGCCTGGTGGGCTTCCTTGTGGGCACCATCCTCATCATCACTGGCACACGCATGTCCAGAGCTGCCCCCAGGTGCGGGGGTCTTGGGAGGCTACAGGGTGGAGGGAGGAGGGTGGACGACCCCGAGTAGGATGGGGGTGGGGAAGTACGGTGGGAGGAAGGGGTTCAGCAAGGGTGACAGTCACAGATGAGGATGAGAAAGGTGGAGGCGGGGAAGGAGTGAGGATGGGGGAGGGGCGCCATGAGATAGGATCCCCAGACTGTGCTGGAGCAACACCGGTCACAGGATTTTTCCTACTCTAGGTCATGACCCTCCCAAGAGAAACAGACTGTGGGAGGCCCCGGACAGACCCCCTGTGGTTCCCGACAGCCCCGGTATCCGCTGAGCGCGTGCCCTCCCCGCTGTGCTGGCTTTGAGTGGGAACCACCTTTGCTTCAGCCCCAGCACGTCCCATAGCTCCCATTCCCACCCCAACACACACACACACACACACACACACACACACACACACACACACGTTCTTGCTACGCCCAAAGTTCTGGCTGCTGTTCGCAATATATTCTTTCTACCAGCTCTTGGCTAATTCTCCCAGGGTGTGAGGGACGTTGGGACCCAGCAGAGGGGATTCTGGGTGGCGACCCCTGAGCAGGGCAGCCGTGTCCCAGCCAGTCCAGCAGTGCTCTGCTCCACTCGGCTTCTTGAGTGTATGATGTGAATGGGTGTTGGACAAGGACTGTGTGAGATTTCCCTGCTGAATTCAGATTGGCCTTGAGAGGGAGGCAGAGTATCCGGTTTGTGGCAGCCCCTGCACCCCACGGCAGTTTGGAGGATTTCGTGTTTGTCCGGATCCACCCAGCCTTCCTCTGGGGTGCCACCCCCCTTTGCTACATTTCCTAGAGTCCTAGGCATGCCAAAGAAAGGGCAGTGAGAAGGGAAGGGGGTGACGCCCCTCGATGGCATCACTTTAGGTAGGAGGGTGGTCTCTGGCAGAAACAGAGGCTAAGACCCCCCGAGCGCTCTAACTGTGTGACCTGGAAGATTTAATTTTACTGTGAGCAAAATTAAAAATGCACGCAAAGAGATGAGTAATCATACAGGGAGGTGTATGTCAACCTTGAACACACAAGAGAATCACCCAGGAGCCCTCCAGTAAGTACAGGCGCCCCCCAGAGCTGCCCAAGGAGACACCTGTGGCAGGGGGTAGTGGTGGCAGAAGCCTGCCATTTATTTATTTTTTTAAGATTTATTTTATTTATTTTAAAGATAGAGTTACAGAAAGAGAGAGGTCTTCCATCCACTGGTTCACTCCCCAAAAGGCCACAACAGCAGGAGTTGAGCTGATCTGAAGCCAGGAGCCAGGAGCTTCTTCTGGGTCTCCCATATGGGTGCAGGGGCCCAAGGACTTGGGCCATCCTCCCCGTTAGAAGGAAGCTGGATGGGAAATGGAGCAGCCGGGACTTGAACTGGTGCCCGCATGGGATGCTGGTGCTGCAGCCCTGGGCTTTAATCTGCTTCGCCACAGCAGTGGCCCCAGGAGTCTGTCATTTTTAACTTACTCCGCATGGTTCTAAGCTGAGGTTTAGTAACCAGGACCCCCTGGTGTGGTCTGGCGTGCTGGAGGTCTTGGCAGGGGAGCTGAGATCCGAGGAGGGCCAGGAAGGCTTTGTGGAGAACTTGAGTGGGAGACGGAGTTGAAGTTGATCAGATGCAAGTAAGTGTGGGGGCATCGCAGGAGCCCATGTTAGGTTCCTGGCCTTTTTTTTTTTTTGTAACACAAACCCCCTTAGAACCGTCACATACATCACAAAGCGCAGGACATTTGCACTGAAGATACAGGGGAGGTGCACAGACACCAAGGGTGGGTTTGGCCAGGCTGTGCAGGGAACAGACCTTACCGCTGAAAAGCCAGCAGCACCTGGAACAGCCCCTCCCGGGCACCCCTGGGTCGTGTGGTCTGTGTCCTGTGACACCTGGGCATGCTGGCCACCTTCTCTGGGGACTGACTTTCCTGCTAACAGGTGCGCCTTCCAACTCCTGAGTTCACAGCATCTCTGTTTTGCCCACCCACAGGGGCTGTCTCCGTTACCACGTACAAGGCTTGGCTTGGGCCAAGTGTGGGGCAGGTGTTCCTCCCAGTCCAACGCTCTTAGGGAAGGGGTACAGGATCTCATGTCACCCACGTGGCTGCCCAGCCATGCCTCCGAGTGAGGGTTCAGTTATGCTCAGAGGGAGAAGGATGGGTTGGTTCTGAGGAGACACCATGGGACACTCCTGTTCCTGAGACACCCTGGTCTCTGCTGATCCTTTGCCTAAAAGCTAACTGGATGCACCATTGCTAAGGTGTTTCTCTGAGTTCTGTCCTAAAGCTTAATAAAGTCATGGAAAGTGTCTAATTGTGACTGAAATAAGTTTTTTTTTTTTTGTCACCATGTATGGATTAACCAGAAGTTGCTGAAACTTCTTGGAACAGTGCCGAATCTTTTAGATCTATGTGTATGCCCTCATACTCATGTTTTTTCCCCTTCTAGTATCAAGGCATGTAGTCTTATTTAAAAAAGAATTGTGCTTCTACATTCTTCTACTCTCCCTCCCTGTGAGCCCCGCGCCACAGTAAACGTGTTGTCTCTCCCACAGGTGGGGAAAGTCAGCTCCTCTCTGTTCTGTAACCCAGCCCCAGGACAAGCTGCTCCAGTCTCCACGTCATGACCCTCAGGCATGGGCTGCGACATCCTCCTAACCACTCCCTTTCAGTTATAATTTTTAACAAAGTTCCATTACACATGTGGTTTAGAGTCCAATGGTTCTACAAAAGTCCCTGTCTCCAGCCCCTCTCTCACTATGTTCCTTGCCCAAGAGGCAAAAACTTTGTTTTCATTTTTTAAAAAGATTTATTTATTTATTTGAAAGAGTCACAGAGAGAGGAGGAGAGGCATAAGAGAGAGAAATTTTTATCCACTGGTTCACGCTGCAAGTGGCTGCAACAGCTGGGGCAGGGCCAGGCTGAAGCCAGGAGCCAGGAGCTTTGTTCCAGGCCTTCCACATGGGTGCAGGAGTCTAAACACTTGGGCTATCTTCTCTGCTGCTTTCTCAGGCACATTAGCAGGAAGCTGGATCAGAAGAGGAGCAGCTGAGACTCGAACCAGCCAACCATATGGGATGCTGGTACAGCAGGCAGTAGCTCAACCTTTTACACCATAGTGCTAGCCCTCAAAAAAAAAAAATTTTTTTTTTTTTTGGACAGGCAGAGTGGACAGTGAGAGAGAGAAACAGAGAGAAAGGTCTTCCTTTTGCCGTTGGTTCACCCTCCAATGGCCGCTGTGCCCAGTGCGCTGTGGCTGGCGCACTGCGCTGATCCGATGGCAGGAGCCAGGTACTTATCCTGGTCTCCCATGGGGTGCAGGGCCCAAGCACTTGGGCCATCCTCCACAGCACTCCTGGGCCACAGCAGAGAGCTGGCCTGGAAGAGGGGCAACCAGGACAGAATCCGGCGCCCCGACCGGGACTAGAACCTGGTGTGCCAGCGCCGCAAGGCGGAGGATTAGCCTAGTGAGCCGCGGCGCCGGCCAGCCCTCAAAACTTTAAACTGTGGGGCCAGCATTGTGGTGTAGCAGGTAAAGCTGCCGCCTGCAGTGCCAGCATCCTTTATGGGTGCCGGTTCGAGTCCCGGCTGCTCCACTTCCAATCCAGCTCTCTGTTGTGGCCTGGGAAAGCAGTGGAAGATGGCCCAAGTCCTTGGGCACCTGCACCTATGTTTGGAACCTGGAGGAAGCTCCTGGTTCCTGGCTTTGAATTGGCGCAGCTCCAGCCACTGTGGCCAATTGGGGAGTGAACCAGTGGATAGAAGATTTCTCTCTTACACACTCTTCTCTCGGCCTCTGGCTCTCTAATAAAATAAATAAAAAAAAAAAAAAAAGAAAAGAAAAAGCCTTTCAGCTGTTCACAGGACTGTTGGCATTGACCGTCCAGCTCTAAGCTTGTGTGGCTGCATCTTGGTTTCCAGCTTTAGGCTCTATCTCTACTTCCCACTATGGAAGAGGGACTCAGCTTTTCTTCACTCTCCAAAGATATCCACGCCCACTCCCTTTAAGATAGTTATGTTACAATTTTGGCTAGGTTGCTGCTTAGTGTTTGTAGTATTATGACCACGTAAGTGGCATGTCATCTGGTATACCACACTTGTTCTTTCTTTCCTGGACAACTTTTCATTTCTCCTGGAGTTAATCATAGTCCTGTCTTTCCTTTTACTTGGTTCTATTCCTACCTATCATTAACAAATCACAAATTTCCTCGCAGTGCAAACAGATACAGCAGGTGCTCTAGCAAATTTATCATCAAATGAAACCCTCCCAGAACCTCCTGCTCATCCCAGCTTTTTTTTTTTTTTAAGATTTATTTATTTATTTGAAAGGCAGAGTTACAGAGAGGCAGAGAGAGAGAGAGAGAGAGAGAGAGAGAGAGAGAGAGAGAGAGAGAGGTCTTCCATCTGCTGGTTCACTCCCCAGATGGCCAGAGCTGGGCTGTTTCAAAGTTGGGAGCCAGGAGCTTTTTCCAGCTCTCCCATGTGGGTGCAGGGGCCCAAGGACTTGGGCCATCTTCTACTGCTTTCCCAGGCCATAGCAGAGAGCTGGATCAGAAGTGGAGCAGCTGGGACTCGAACCGGCACCCATATGGGAAGCTGGTACTGCAGGTGGTGGCTTTACCTGCTATGCCACAGCACCGGCCCCCCATCCCAGTCTTTAGCTCCCTCAGTGACACAGCTATTGTTCTGGGAACGCCTTCCACCATCCTTGTCAGGATTTACCCGTTCTCTATGTTGGTTCTCCTGTTTCTTGCACCCTGTAATTCCCCTTTCGGGGTCTTTTTGTTATTTTATTTTATTTTATTTTATTTTTTTCCTTAATTTATTGATGGAGGAGGGAGGGAGGGAGAGATGTCTCTTCCATGCACTGGTTCGCTCCCACTCTTTTTTGCTATTTTAGTGAGGCTCGTTCTTTTACACCCTGAGAAAGTGCCTCGGAGTCAACCTTGTTGCCCTTGGTGAAAGCTGGAAGTGCATTTATTCTGTTCTCTGATAGCTTGCATGGGCATAAAGTGCAAGGCTGAAACCACTCCCATCAGATTTTATAAGGTTCTCGTCCACAGTCTCTCCACTCCCAGTTTTCTCATCGATAAGCCAGGGTATGTTCAGGGTCTTGAAACTTGGAATGCAATCTATTGGTTGATTTTCTAGAAAAGATTTAATTATTTGTTCTTTTTAAAAAAAGATTTATTTATTTTATTTGAAAATCAGTGTTATAGAGAGAAGAGAGGGAGGGAGAGAGAGAGAGAGAGAGGTCTTCCATCCATTGGTTCACTCCCCAAATGGCCACAATGGCTGGAGCTGGAGCCAAACCAAAGCCAGGAGCCAAGAGCTTCTTCTGGGTGTCCCACATGGGTGTAGGGGCCAAGCACTTGGGCCATCTTCTACTGCTTTCCCAGGTGCATTAGCAGAGAGCTGGTTCGGAAGTAGAGCAGCCAGGACTCGAACCAGCGTCTATATAGGATGCTGGCACTGCAGGCCAGGGCTTTAACCCGCTGAGCCACAGCTCCAGCCCCTGTAATCTTACTGTGACAGCTCCCCTGAGAGTCATCAAAGCTTCTGGACTCCCCATACCAGTGTACCCTACCCTGCCTTCACACAACCTGTTCTCTGTGTTGGCCCTGCCTTCTGCTAATGATTGAAATTTCTCCGTGTCCCTCCCCAGGTGCGGATTAGATGCCAACCCCCAACCCAGCATTCTGTCTGCTCATGACAGAATCCACGTTGTGCCGAGTGTCAGGGTTAAGCGTGCACGTGTCTGCCTTCACTGTAACTGCCCCTCCAGGGCAAGGCAAGTCTGTGACTTGTGTTTCCAGTGCCTGTCGTATCGCCTGGGACATAAGAGGTGCTGAGACATTCGCAGAGTTCTATTTCATTCTATTTCATTTGCTTTATAGACAGGCTGCTCCCACGGCTCCGCAGCTGGTTGCAATAACATTGGCTGTCTACTGCACACGTAAAATGTGCCAGGCCTTGTGGGAAGTGCTTTTCATGTGTAGTAGGCTTATGTCTTGGTCCACAAAATCGATAAAGCAGTGCAAGAAATAGCAGATTTCTTTAAATAATCTCTTTTTAAAAAAAACATTTATTTATTTATTTGAAGGCAGAGTTACAGAGGCAGAGGTCTTCCATCCCCTGGTTCTTTCCCCAAATAGCCGCAACAGCCGGAGCTGGGTTGATCTGAAGCCAGGAGCCAGGAGTTTCTTCTGGGTCTCCCATGAGGGTGCAGGGGCCCAAGCACTTGGGCCATCTTGCTCTGGTTTCCCAGGCCACAGCAGAGAGCTGGATTGGAAGTGGAGCAGCCGGGACTCGAACCGGCACCCACATGGGATGCCAGCACTTGCAGGTGGTGGCTTTATCCACTATGCCACAGCACTGGGCCCTCTTTAAATAATTTTTTTTTTTTGACAGGCAGAGTGGACAGTGAAAGAGAGAGACAGAGAGAGAGAAAGGTCTTCCTTTGCCATTGGTTCACCCTCCAATGGCTGCCGCGGCCAGCGCGCTGTGGCCGGTGCACTGCGCTGATCCGAAGGCAGGAGCCAGGTGCTTCTCCTGGTCTCCCACGGGGTGCAGGGCCCAAGCACTTGGGCCATCCTCCACTGCACTCCCTGGCCACAGCAGAGAGCTGGCCTGGAAGAGGGGCAACCGGGACAGAATCCGGCGCCCCGACCAGGACTAGAACCTGGTGTGCCAGCGCCGCAAGGCGGAGGATTAGCCTAGTGAGCTGTGGCGCCGGCCCTAAATAATCTTAAATCTGACTCAAAACCTGTTCAGGACTCCTGCCTTGAGGCTGGTTTTAAAAGAGGCTCTGTCTCTTGTGAGTATCTGAAGGTGCTGAGCCTTGGAGAAGCCCCTTTGTCCAGCCTGGTTACTGCAAGCATGCCCAGGTCTTAAAGGCACAGTGCTTTCTGAGTGGCAGCTCGGCTGCTCTGCACCAGGCTAGGCAGGGAATCTTTGCTGGGTGATCCCAGTACCTGGGTGCAGCACTGCAAAGATGCAACACCCATACCCCCCCCCCCACAAGCCTTCCTCAGTTGCCCTGGGTGCTGCAAAGGAGCGGGGCTCTCTCAGGACCCACAGACCATGCACCCCTCCTCATGTTGGCAGAACCTCCGCTCTCTGCCTTTCCAAGGCCTCCCCCGCCTCCCCAGGTATAATGTCTGGGACACCTGGCACAAGGGCAAGCATGCTTCAGGCTTCGGGAAATTCAAAGCCGCAGGAGGGTCTCAGAGGTGACATCTGCCATTGCCTGGTGTCACCACCCTAACTACAAGGAAGCAGAAAGCCTTGTCCCTCTGTGCATGCATCCTCTCA